GCTTCATCTATCATCGAATCCATGGCAATGCTCCAGGCGTCGTTTTGTACCCCAAAAGACTGATGAGCGATTTAACGTTTAGTCTTTGCGTGCACTATCCCTATTTGCACCTACGTAGCCGCTGTCAATTTTTCCAGGGCCGTTGACCTGCGACTTTAAAACAATATGAAAGTCACTTGAACAAATGGCCTTCCATGTAAAGGCTTCTCCAACGTGTTACTGTATCAGCTGTTGCGCATGGTATACTAATTGGTAATAACATCCCGGATAACCCAGTTCGTCCTGTCCACATCAGCTTTGGTCAGTGTCTGTCACACAACGCAGCCACCAGACAGACCCAGATGTGTTAATGCTGTCCATCGGACGACGTTCCATAGTAGGTCATTGATCACGGCTTCAGCACGTGTTCTCAGAGACCGCAATGCAATGTTCAGCGTAACATACTTTGTTTGTTCTGTTACTGCTGTGATGAACGCACCAAGCTGTTTGCTGTTCATATTTTGTTTTGTCTTTCTTAGTCTTCTTTCTGGTGTTAAAATTTAGCGTTGTTTTATTTCACTGAAAAGCGTTTTCCATGTGTGATACACTTCAAAAAATAAAGTGTCTACTTTAGCCACTTCAATTTCAAACTTATGCTTCATAAGGCACCACAACACTGCTTCTTCAGCATATAGCAAAAACTCGTTAATCGCATGCATTTTAAAGTATTACTACGTTTCAAAATTGATTTCTGGGCTCACCCCTGAGCTGATAGGGTCAGATTTTAAACGATAGGATTTGACATTGAACAATTAAGACCCGTTATCAGATGGATTTCTACATATTCCGCAGGAAATCATATCATGATTGATAACTGGTTATTGCTTATGGAAATTTCCATGAAAACGTGTTTGATTCTTTTCTATAATTATAATCCATCACAAATCTAAAATCAAACATTCTGCAGTGGGGTACTGCCACCAAGAAAGGAGTCACTCATTGAAGCATATGACCGTTCTTTACATAATACTAGACTGTATTTCCAATATATCATAGAAATGATAAATATTTTAATAGAAATATTAGAATAGACCTCGATTTCGCTGGTTTAGAGGTGACAAAAGAAACCAAGATTTTGTGCTGCAAAATCTTCTATATAACATAAGTAAATTATGTGTTATCTGCGTGACCTCAAGTCGATAATTGATGGGGAAATGTTTCCATTTATCGAATGAGTAATACCATCTACATATGGTAAAACACTGTGAGGACGCTTGCCGATCAGTACCTGAATCATATGACATTTATAAGTATATCAAAGATAGGTACAGTATGAAGGATCGTCTTTTGGGATCTGGTAATTCGTTAATACGACATGTTTCGTACTATGTAAATACATATACTTCAAATGTGAAATTATCATGTGGCTTCATGTGAATCGATTTTCCTATTACACTATGTCCTTATCAGCGTACTGAATATCAGGTCGTAATTGCCTGACTAGCTCAGCTGATAGAACAACAGATTCATAATTTTAGGTTTGTGGGTTCATGTCCGCTTCCGCATCAGGTGAAACCTGATGAGAGTGGGAAGTTTGGGTAGCATAATGAGTAAGGAGCTTGGCTTTTGGGTTTCACTTTCGAGGTATCGAAATGTTATTGTCGTTCTCATGGGGATAACA